AAAAAAAAAAAAAAAAAAAAAAAAAATTCCTGCCTTAAGGAATCTGGCTATTCTAGGCTGTTCGTGTAGGTGAAATCATACAAAATGCGACATTTTGTGTCAGCCTTATTTCACTTTGAATAATGTTTCCAAGGTTCATTCATATTTTTCATTCTTTTACTTTTTACCTATTTACATGTTATATTAGAAGTGAGTTTCTGGGACTTCCCTGGTGGTGCAGTGGCTGGGAATCCTCCTGCTAATGGAGGGAACACGGGTTCAATCCCTGGTCTGGGAGGATCCCACGTGCAACTAGGCCCGTGCGCCACAACTATTGAGCCCTCACGCCACAACTACTAAAGCCAGCGCACCTACAGCCCATGCTCCACAACAAGAGAAGCCACCGCAGTAAGAGGCCCACACACCGCAATAAGAAGCCGGCGCACCACAACAGAGAGTAGCCCCTGCTCACCGCAACTAGAGAAAGCCCGTGCACAGCGATGAAGACCCAACACAGCCAAAAATAAATAAATAAATAAATAAATTTATTTTAAAAAAAAAGAAGTGAGTTTCTTATGGACCTCATAGTGTAGGTGGTGGTTTTTTCTTAAACCAATCTTACAAGCTCTTTTAATTGCTGTGTTTCACCCATTTACGTATAATATTATTACTGATAAGACTGTTATTTAGGTTTGTCATTTTATTTTTTTTTAATTTTGTCCCCTCTCTTCCTTGTTCTTCTATTTACCCTTTCCTGGGATTTAAAAATATTTTTCGCATACCATTTTAATTTCTCTATTGGTGCTGTAACTATAAGTCTTTGACTGCTGTTGACGTGGCTGTTCTAGAGATTACCAGGTACATACCTAACTTTACACAGTAAAGAAAGAGTTAGTATTTTGCCTCTTCAAGGGAAATGTAGAAACCTTACAAATTTATAGGTCTCTTTATTCTTACCCCTTTATGTTGTAGTTGTTGTATGTATTATCTCTACATAGAGGCCCAGGGCTGTGTCGGGGCCTATGGGGCCAGGTCAAGGTGAGTGAGCTCTCCCCAGACCTTCTGCTGCAGCTCCACAACCACCACCCCCATCACCTGAGGGTAGAAGAGAAGGTCTGGGCTGATGGCGACCAGTCTGGGGACGGCTATGGAGTGACATCTTGGGAAACTAAGGCCATAAGGGCACCCCTGACACTTCAGGTCTGCATCCTTTCAGGACAAATTGAAACCCCACGTGTTCATCTTTGCCTCCTAATTAGATGTAAATGAGACACTGGAGATGCTCACCTCCAGGTACCGGGACTGGCATGTTTAGTTCCAGAGACTCATTCAAGATCAAAGAGATTACTTAAGCATTTCTGCATCTCCTCACCCATACCCTGTCTTTTTTGTTCTCAGGGGTAACTGACATTCTCAGTTCATCACAAAATAAGTCAGACGCCAACAGTGATGAGTAGCAGAAATTCTCAATTTTGGGCTGGGCTCCGACGGTCACAACCTGTTAATGGAATGCAGGTGACCTGAGTGGACATGTAGGGGTCCTAGGGTGATTGGGTTCTGCTCTGACCTCTGTGACCTCTTTTTCCACAGTTCCTAGCCTCATACCACCAAGATTATACAGTGGAGACTCTCATCCAGACGGGCATGGCCGGCTCAGTCCTGCTGGGCCTCGGGATTCTGCTCTTTCAGGCTCAACACGGCCACGGAGGAACCCAAGATGCAGCCAGGAGGTAAACACAGAGGGAACAAACCCACCATTCGGTGAGTTCAATCCTTGTATGACCAGGAGGTTTGGGAGGAAAATCTGCAGTATGAATTGAGGGAACTGTCTGCTGAGAATTTCAAGGGGTATAAATGCTGGCATGCAGGAAATGCCTGGGTTGTTGCCTGTAGAGACTCTTCTGTAATTAAAAGTGTGGTAATTTCCCTCCTTACCATTACTGATTATTCTTGACTACTCCCTTTCTTTTTTTACTCCTGTGATTTGAGGCTACATCCACATCACAGGTTTGGTCCACACCTAAAGTCACCTTCATGCTCTGCCACTTTCTTGTAGTACATTTTGCTTTATTTCTAATTTCCACACTCACTGGTGTGTGCTATTGACCTCTATCCCTTCAGCCTAGAACCAGAATGTTTTAAGCAACTGAGTAAATGGGTGAAATTCAGGTCTAGTTTAAAACACATAAATCCAAAACCATTTCCGAAAACCTGCTCTGGACCCCCTCAAGTCTTATTCTCCTTCAAAATGATACATGGAAGAGTTTCTGCCAAAATACCATCAGTTTGAATGAGCACAAGGTGGACTTCCCTGGTGGTGCAGTGGTTAAGAATCCACCTGCCAATGCAGGGGACAGGGGTTCAAGCCCTGGTCCAGGAAGATCCCACATGCCATGGAGCAACTAAGCCCGTGTGCCACAACTACTGAGCCTCAGTGCCACAGCTACTGAAGCCCACGCACCTACAGCCCATGCTCCGCAACAAGAGAAACCACCGCAATGAGAAGCCCACGCACTTCAGCAAAGAGTAGCCCCCACTTGCCGCAACTAGAGAAAGCCTGTGTGCAGCAATGAAGACCCAATGCAGCCATAAATAAATAAATACATAAATTTATGAATGGGCGCAAGGTGTTTGAAGTGACAGCCAGGTGGTGTGCTGGCAAACCAGCTCTATGAAAACATCACTTTTTCTCAGTGTTCTGATTTGTTTACATTATCTGTTTCTTTGGTAAATACTCCCTTCATGCCCAACTTCAGGATGCCAGTTTGAATGTACTGGATACACAGTTGGGAATAGAATCAACTTTCACAAGTATGAGCCAACTGTGGCACCTCACAGATGACCCTGAGGTCCTTCTATTCTGTAGGTCATAGTAATTTCCACCTCAATCTTACGCCACGGTTTCAGTGGAATTATGATGCCCAAATCCTAGTACATTCACATTAGAAGTAAATAGAAAACAGGCATAATCAGTTGTGGGAAAAACGCTGAGCCTGACATGAAGGTTTAACATAGGAGATGTGAGTCCAAGCAGGTCGGACACGCCCAAGTCTCTCATATGTATGCACTTCTCCCCTGCTGACCCCTTCACCTTTGCCCCTTAATGATAATTTGGGTGAGTATAGAATGCCTCACTGACAGTTAATTCCTTGACTGTATTTTCCCCATATCTTTTGGCATTTTCTCCCTTCAATTTCCTTCCCTTTGCTGCAAAAGAGCAACACACATTTCATGTATAGACACATGCACCCTAGCAATTGTAAGTTCTTGCTACATCTCTGTAAAAGACCAACAGTTGGCCTTTCATACTGTCGCAGACATTGTCCTCACTGATTTCATTCTGAAATTCACAATATCCATGGGCCCCTCTCTTTCTATTCCTCATCTACCTTAACTTTCTAATTCCAGTCTCTCTGTACTGCACCCTAAACAAACTCCTCAATATTGTATTCCAAGTTCATAATTGGCTCTTCAGCTGTATCTTCTCCTTGATGGAAAGAATATCTTGAGTGTATTAATGAAAGTATTATTTTTTACCTGTAAGGTGTTTGCCTAATTCATTGCTAAAATCCTATGTACTTCCGCAACATAATCCCTTTTGCTGTTTCCAGAATTTATTTTCCTTCTTTAATTTTTCAGATGTGTAAATATGCTTAAATTAAAAGGTTTCATATATTCCTAGTATTCTATCTCCTTGGATAGGATAATACAAGTTACTAGCTCTGTAGACAGTCTTCTTAGCACTTTTTCTCAGTATTAGGATTTATCTTTTATGTTCATTCCTAATGCTCAGCTCCCAGACACGTGATTTTCTATAGAGAGTTTCTCCCAGATCTGTCCCGACATTCAGAGATGAAATGGGTGACTTCTTGCAGCTGCCCTGCCCCACAGCATCTGCTCTGTCCAACTTAGCATCTGACTAGGCATGTACCTGGCAGGGATGACCCCAAGTGAGCCTCACACTCACAGGTGGGACAGATATCCATGTACAATTATAATGAATTAAAGCTGTTTTACAACCGCACAGAGGACACAGCTCAGTGCTGACCTCGGGGCTGGATCAGTGGGCAGAGATATCCCAGTGCCTGGCCACAAACAAGGTGGAGGGGCAACACCGATTCCAACCTTGACCTGAAACCCTGACCCCTCCCTGCCTGTGAGGACCTGAGGTCCTTGTCCTTCCACACAGAGGTGGAAACCTCTATTCTAATGACCACTTGCTGGACTCAGGCACTGGTACTCACTAAGCTTTCACCTTTTTTTTGTTGTTGTTGTGGTCCCTTCTCTATTTAGGAAACTTTCATTTCTCTTCTCCTATAATAGACCATGCCTATGTATTTCATAAAAAGCATAAGCAGTGGGACTTCCCTGGTGGCGCAGTGGTTAAGAATCCGCCTGCCAATGCAGGGGACACGGGTTTGAGCCCTGGAAGATCCCACATGCCGTGGAGCAACTAAACCCATGCACCACAACTACTGAGCCTGAGCTCTAGAGCCCATGAGCCACAACTACTGAAGCCCGCACGCCCAGAGCCCGTGCTCTGCAACAAGAGAAGCCACCGCAATGAGAAGCCCATGCACCACAATGAAGAGTAGCCCCCACTTGCCACAACCAGAGAAAGCCCGCACTGCAACGAAGACCCAATGCAGCCAAAAATAAATAAATAAATAAACAACAAAAAGCCCACCATAAGTAGCATTTCTCAGTGTCAGGAGCAGACGGGGGTCGTGAGTGGGCACATCAGTCGTCCACCCTGACTGTGGGGTCTGACACCTTAACCCTCTCATACAGGTTAGAAATTAACCAATATTGGGTCCCATCCATGTCCTGGCACCAATGAGCCCACAACCTGTCTGAAAAGTGGGGTTCAAACAACATGCTGCGGGCGAGGAAACTGAGGCTCAGAGACATAACTTCAGGGCTCAGGGCACACGGGGAGGATGACGAGGAATACTTAAATTAAATCAGCTTCGTCCCCCAAGTCAGAGCACTGACCTCTCTGTCCCATAAAAGTGAAGACAGGAGCATATAATAAGGAGACGATCGCCAAGGAACAAAGGGCACCGAGGAGGAAGGAACGACTCAGGGGCTTGCTCCCAGGAAGGTGGGGTGGAGGCTGTTTCAAGAAAAAGGGAGAAGTCCCTGAAGGGGGCTGAGACACAGAGCAAAGCCACACTCTGGGGCCAGGGGAGCAGGCATGTTTCCTTCCTTATTTCCCCGAACTTCTCCTCTGTGCTCACCGCCACACTGACCTCCACGGAGCTGTAGGCAGATGTTAAACGTGTGTCTCTGCTGATCTGAGCTCCGCGGTGCAGCAGGAACCTGCATCCTCCCTGAAGCATCGCCAGGGCCTGGGGGACCCCTGTCCATGGTGAGGACCCCACAGGGACCTGCTGATGGACCCGGCTGAGGACGAAGGAGACCCAACGGGGAGGCTCTGAGAGGGAAGGACGTGCTCGGGTCACCCTCACCTGGAAGGGGCGTCTCAGGAAGACACCGGGTCTGTCATGGGAATGACAGCCAGGCTCCTGGGGAGGGGCAGTTCCCCTTCCTGTGGGGCTGCTGACGTGACAGCCCCGTGACGGGGAGAACCAGCCTCCCAGTGGACACACCCTCGGGTCTCCGTCCTGAGGGCACCGTGGTCTCCTCTATCTGCACCGCCTGGACCACAGGGACGAGACGCCATGACCCCCAGCCTCACGGCCCTGCTCTGCCTCGGTGAGATGGAGGAGGGGGAGGGGAAGCCCCAGCCAGGGAGGGACCCCTCCCCACAGCCAGGCTGCTCTTTAAGGAGACCCCAGGACTCAGGAGGCTCACGGGTAGGAGAGGCGCTGCTCAGGATTCAGGGCGAACCTCTCACAGGGGTCTCTCTTCCAGGGCTGAGTGTGGGTCTGAGGACCCAGGTGCAGGCAGGTGAGTTTGTCCCCAGGTGTCCCAGCTCCCTCCTGCTCATGGGGACAAGGGCCCCACCCCAGGCAATGGGGTGGGGAACAGCAGTTCTGGGCTGAAGCAGGGGGAGTCTGGGAGGTTGGGGGCTGAGAGCTGGGGACCTGGGGGTGAGGATGTCTTGTGACGCAACCCCTGATGTCCTTCCAGGCACCCTCCCCAAACCCACCATCTGGGCTGAGCCAGGCTCTGTGATCCCCTGGGGGAGCCCCGTGACCATCCGGTGTCAAGGGACCCTGAGGGCCCGGGAGTTCCATTTGGATAAAGAGGGAAGCTCACCTCCCTGGGAGAGACAGCCCCAACTGGAGCCCGGGGACAAGGGCAAGTTCTCAATCTCACACATGACACAGTCCTACGCAGGGAGATATCACTGTTACTATCACAGCCGCACTGGCTGGTCAGAGAGCAGTGACCCCCTGGAGCTGGTGGTGACAGGTGAGAGGACACTCGGGGGCCCCAGCCTCAGGCTCTGCCCTCAGGAAGGGGGTCTGCTCTCAGGGGTGTGTCACTCTCACAGGCCAGCCCTGGAGGAGGAAAGGGGGGTGTGAGCCCCATTTCACAAGCTCCCTCTTTCTCTCCTAGGGGCCCACGGGAAACCCACCCTCTCAGCCCTGCCGAGCCCTGTGGTGACCTCGGGAGGGACCGTGACCCTCCAGTGTGGCTCATGGGAGGGACTGGACCGGTTCATTCTGACTAAGGAAGGAGAACCCAAGTCCTCCTGGACCCTGGATGCACAGCGAGGCCCCCAGGGGCAGACCCAGGCCCTGCTCCCCGTGGGTCACGTGACCCCCAGCCACAGGTGGATGTTCAGATGCTACAGCTTTTACAGGGACACCCCCCAGGTGTGGTCGGCCCCCAGCGACCCCCTGGAGCTCCTGGTCCCAGGTGAGGAGGTCCCACCCTGGCCTCACGCACTTTCTGAGGCACGAGACAGATTATTAGATGCTTTTCTCCCAGGATTGTCCCAGATGAGAGGGTGGGGTGAGGGGGGAGCGGGGCGCACAGGACAGAGACACAGAGTGTGAGCGACAGTGAGGCCTGGGGACCAGGACGGGGGGAGGGGCTTCATGGGAGGAACCAGCCCCTACAGCCCAGGGCTGGTCTTCCCCCAGGTGTGTCTGGGAAGCCCTCCCTCCTGACCCCGCAGGGCCCTGTCGTGGCCTCTGGACAGAGCCTGACCCTCCAGTGTCGCTCTGACGTCGGCTATGACAGATTCGCTCTGTCCCAGGACGGGGGACAGGCCCTCCCCCAGCGCCCTGGCCGGCAGCCGCAGCCTGGGCTCTCTCAGGCCGACTTCCCCCTGCGCCCGGTGACCAACACCCACGCGGGCCGGTACAGATGCTACGGTGGACACAACCTCTCCTCCGAGTGGTCGGCCCCCAGTGACCCCCTGGACATCCTGGTGGCAGGTGAGCAGCCAGCGGGTCAGTCAGGGACCCAGACTCTGCACAGGCCCTGCCGGGGGAGCCCCAGGTGGTGATGCTGGGACCGGGCGTGAGGGGTCCCCAGGGAGGGAGGGAGAGAGACAGAGAGAGACAGGGGTGGGCAGGGAGAGGGAGAGACTCAGAGAAAACAGAGACAGACAGAGATGAGCGGCCTCAGGGAGGCCCTGCTGAGTCGCAGTTCAGAACCAGGGGGCGAGCAGCCCCTCACCCCCTTCCTCTCTCTAGGGTGGCTCCCTGACACGCCCTCCCTCTCGGTGCAGCCGGGCCCCGTGGTGGCCTCAGGAGAGAACGTGACCCTGCTGTGTCAGTCACTGAGCACAAGGGATACTTTCCTTCTGTCCAAGGAGGGGGCAGCCCAGCCCCCACTGCGTCTTAGATCAAAGTACCGAGGTGGGCATTACCAGGCCGAATTCTCCATGGGTCCCGTGACCTCAGCCCACAATGGGACCTACAGGTGCTACAGCTCACTCAGCAGTAACCCCTACCTGCTGTCACACGCCAGTGCCCCCCTGGAGCTCGCGGTCTCAGGTGAGAGACCCTGACCCTGTCCCTTCAGACTCAAGTCAGCTCAGGGCTCTGTCCCCTGAGCACTCTGGGCTGGGGTTGAGTGAGGGGGCTGTGACAGAGGGTCACCCAGAGGGGGATCTGCCCCTCAGAGGCCCTCCCATCCCCTCCCACACCTTCTCACCTCACCTGGGATCCTGGAGGTGACAGGTGGGCAGTGGGAGGGCCTTGGGTAGGACACAGGGCAGGTGAGGGGAAGAGTTTAGTGAGGTGGGGACTCCGGGGTCAGCCTCAGCCCCACCCCCTTCCTGTCCTCATTCCCAGCACCCGCAGGGGGCCCCAGCCCCCCACCGACAGGCCCCAATTCAACAACTGAGGAGTCACTGAGGCCTCTTTGCTCAGGGGGAACACTGGCCACCCCAGGGCAGTTGAAGAGTCTCTCAGAGGATCTAATGCCCCTCAGCTCCTCGGGGATAGGACTGTCTCCCAAAGGGACCAGAATCCAGCAAAGATCCAGGGGGACCCCAGGGACCCAGGGGCTCTGATGCTGGGTGGATGAAGGGTGGGGCAAAGAGGGAGATGCTGAGGAAGAGGAAGAGGCTGGCGGCGAGTTTTGGGGAGGTGCTGCCCCCGCCCCTCAGCCCCCATGCTGACCCCCAGGAGGCTCTAAGGATCAGCTCCCTACCGTGGAGTCAGGCCCGCGGTGGGGTGAGGGGGGGGTCCATGGAGGGCGGGGCTGGGTCACACGTCAGTTACCCGCTGAAACGCCTGTTCAGGTGAAGGGCCCACAGTCTGTACTGTGTGAGCTCAGTCAGCTCAGGGTCCTGTCCTCAGGAACGTATGAGCCAGTAAGATGAGAGGGGGCACAGGGGGCTCCACAGAGGAGGACACAGAACCCAGGAGAAGGGCTCGTGTCTCCCCAACTCCGCACTCACACCCTCACTTTACGATTCTCGTGAGCAGCTGACACCATCCACCCGCCACAAAACAAGTCAGACGCCAGCAGTGATTAGTAAAAGAAATCCTCAGTTATGGGGCTGGGCTCCGAGTTTCTGTCCTGTCGAGGACAGAACAAAAGGAACCAGTACGCTGGGTGGACATCCAGGATTCAGGAGTGACTGGGATCTGCTCTGACCTTGTGATCTCTTGTCCAGAATTCCTACCCTCACACCCCCAAGACTACACAGTGGAGAATCTCATCCGGATGGGCATGGCCGGCTCAATCCTGCTGGGCCTCGGGATTCTGCTCTTTCAGGCTCAACACGGCCACGGAGGAGCCCAAGATGCAGCCAGGAGCTGAACACAAGAGGGAACCGTGCACTGTCCCGAGTGGTGGGGCCCTGGACATGACCTTATGTGCCCAGGAGGTTCTGGAAGAGAATCTGCAGCACGTGTTGTGTGAACTGTCTGACCAGGGAGGGAGAGACATGGTGTGGGTGCAGGAGAAGGTCCGGGAGTCCCTGTGGAGGACTGGGCCTCGGTTACCATGGTGCCTTCCCTCCCCACCAGTGATGACTCTCCCTGACTGCCCCGTCCCCTCTCACCCCTGTGACGTGAGGCACATCCCACATGGCCGTTCTGTGTACACACCTTACACACCTTCATGCTCTGGCCCACTTTCATATAATACATTTGTTTATTTTTAATTTCCACATTGGCTGCTGTGTGCTATTGACCTCCATCCCTTCAGTCAGAAACAGAACATCGTTAAAGTCACTGAATAAATGGGTGAACTTGGGGTCCTGTTTCGAACAGATAAATCCAAAACTCTTCCCTAAAACTCTCTCTGGACCCCTCAAGCCCTTCTCTCCTCGTCAGATGACACCTGGTATAGTTTCTCCAGAAACACCATTAGTGTGAAGGAACACCGTGGCGTTTGAAGTGACAGCCAGCTGCTGTGCTGCTAAAAGGGCTTAGGAATTTATCATTTTGTACAAAGCCCAGATGTGTGGCATTTGTCTCTTTCTTTAGTGCAAATACTCTCTTCGGGCTTCCCTGGTGGCCCAGTGGTTGGGAGTCCGCCTGCCGATGCAGGGGACATGGGTTCGTGCCCCGGTCTGGGAGGATCCCACATGCCGCGGAGCGGCTGGGCCCATGAGCCATGGCCGCTGAGCCTGCGCATCCGGAGCCTGTGCTCCACAACGGGAGAGGCCACAACAGTGAGGCCCGCGTACCACAGAAAAAAAAAAACCAAAAACCTCTCTTCGTGGCCAACCTCATGGTATGTGTATGAATGCGCTGAAGCAGAGTGGGGAAGTGATGCGTAGAATTGTCTTTCCCAAAGAACTGAGCCTGATCCAGCTGGAGCACAGCTCAGTGATGACCCCGATACACACAGACGTGTCCTTTATGTAAAGCATCACGAGTAGATCATTTCCACTTCAGCTTTATGCCCTGGTTTCCATGAAATTATCCTAGTCCTAGGCCTTGGCATCCTGGTCCGTCCCCATGACATGCAAAAGAGAAAACAATGGAAGTATCAGTTGTGGGAGAAAACACTGAGCACTTTAAATCCCAATACATTACTGGTAGGTGTACTAACTGCCTCAGTCAATTTGGGGAGTAAATAAGAATTATCGGTTAAAAGGAAGAGACACACAGCTCTGACCCACAGTTACATAACTTAGAGGAAAATGTGTACATAACCATGAGTATACATCCAGGAGAACTTTGACAGAGGGGTCGTTCCTATTAGGCAAAACCACAGAAATAAATCTCACCAAAAATGAATGGATTGTTGTACATACGCAACCGAATTTTATATGACAGAAAAATACACAAAGTTAAATGGCTACAATAATACAGATCAATTTTCAAGCATGACAGTCAATAAGTAAAGAAAAACTATAAGAGTTTACTTCATTACATCAAATTCAAAAGCAGACAATGTGGGACCCAACTAAACAAAATAAGAATTTAAAGAGGAAAAATAACAGTTGATACCAGAGAAATACAAAAAATCATAAGAGAATACTATAAACAATTCTTTGCTAACAAACTGGACAACCTAGAAGAAATGGACACGTTTTAGGAACATACAGCCCCCACCAAAACTGAATCGAGGAGAAATAGTTACCTTTGAATAGACTGATCACTACGCCTGAAATAGAATCTGGCATATTCACATATACACACTACCAAACGTAAAACAGACAGCTAGTGGGAAGCAGCCGCATAGCAAAGGGAGACCAGCTCCGTGCTTTGTGTCCACCTAGAGGGGTGGCATAGGGAGGGTGGGAGGGAGATGCAAGAGGGAGGGGATATGGGGATATATGTATATGTATAGCTGATCCACTTTGTTATAAAGCAGAAACTAACACACCATTGTAAAGCAATTATACTCCAATAAAGATGTTAAAACAACAACAAAAAAAACCTCCCTGCAAACAAACATCCAGGACTGGATGACCTCATGAGAGAATTCTGCCAAACATAAAAAGAAGATCTTACACTGAGCCTTCTCAAACACTTGCAAAATACTGAAGAGGAGGACACAGTCCCAAAGGCATTGTATGAGCCACAATCACCCTGATGCCCAAAACCAGACAAAGACACTGCCAAAAAAGAAAATTACAGAAAAAAACCTCCCTGCAAACAAACATCCAGGACTGGATGACCTCATGAGAGAATTCTGCCAAACATAAAAAGAAGATCTTACACTGAGCCTTCTCAAACACTTGCAAAATACTGAAGAGGAGGACACAGTCCCAAAGGCATTGTATGAGCCACAATCACCCTGATGCCCAAAACCAGACAAAGACACTGCCAAAAAAGAAAATTACAGACCAATATTTCTGATGAATATAGAGGCAAAAATGCTTAACAAAATACTAGCAAACCAAATCCAACAACACATAAAAAGAATCATACACCATGATCAAGCTGGATTCATGCCAGGGTCACAGGGATGGTTCAACATACACAGATCAATCAGTGTGATACAACGTATCAACAAAAGAAAAGACAAAACCGATTCCGCACTAGGAACTGCAGTTGGAAGAGCCAAGTGCGAGGCCTCTGCACGTGGCCCCTGTGAGCAAGTGAAACCAGACTAAACACAAAGGGAAAAAAAAAAAGCCATCTCAGAGCTGTGACTATTTTCAAGGCTACTGTTTTTCTCTGTGAAACACACTGCCTTTGGAGCAAAACAAGGAAGAAGCTGGTGACTCTCATGTGCAGCACAGAAGGAGAGCCACCGCAGGCCAGCCTCCCCAACTCTGAAGGCACTCCAGCCGTGTGGCTGACAGGGTCTTGGTGCTCCAGCCGGGTGTCAGGCCTGAGCCTCTGAGGTGG